TCGGACCCAACCAGTTAAATTTTATTAGATACATATTCAATGGCAACTAGATTTAGATATTATAGTCAGAAAGAGTTTTGTTTCTTTTTCCTTTTTTTCTAAATAAATTAAAGTCTTTTAGAGTTAAACAAAAAAAATAAGGAAACTTCAAGATATATTATTATATGCTTTGAAGTTTTTCTGATTCAACTTCAATGAGAAAAATTTTTAGACTTGGATCAGATGGACTATAGTGAGAATACAGTGAATATACGAATAGAATGGGATCATTAGTTGTTGGATATTTCAACTAATTACAATTACCTCTTGTTCTTCGTCATCATCATCGCCTTCTTCTTATTCATCTTCAATATCTTCATTGATTTTAATTGCTCGAACTGTTTGGCTTAGATGTACATCAATATCAATCATATTTGTATCACTTTCTTGAATAACAGTTACTTTTTTTAACCAAATGCCTAATCCATTACAAATTATTAAATGAATTGTATGAACCATACATTGTATTCGATTAATACCAGTTCGACTAAAATAATCAAATAAACCAACCATGTTTGGTGCTCCATCGCGCGTTATTGTTGTAACTTTATCAGATATTTGAAGTTCAGTTAATTGTTTTTCTATTTCACGACCAATAATAGTTGAATAATGACGCTTTGAAAAAACAGAAAATCGAAGAACAGTTGTGTGTTGACTAAATTGATCATCAACATAATGTCCGGTTAAAACTAAATAGGAGTTTTGTTTTTTATCACTCCAAAACCCGGTAGTAATAGCAATATATGTAATTTTTGATAAATTATCCATCATCGATTTGAAATGTACTACATGCAACCGTTTGATGTTACGTTGTATCGTGTGTCGACGGGGTGGTTTGTATCCTAAAGATGAATGAAGAGTAATTCAGGGTTCAAAAAATAACGTTCTTCGATCTGAACGTCACTAATATTGCCGCTCAGACAAGTGTACTAATTATAGAAATATACAGTCTAGAAAAAGGCTCTATGCCGAATCTATATCTAGAGGAAGAAACTTTGAGGTTTATTGGAGATCTATCGAGTTTAAAAAAGATTTCGAACACTCAGATGAATGTTTTATAGATTTAGAAAACCTGTTCAAAGCCTGAAAGATTCTTCCTGGATATAGGCTCGACGGTATATCTATTTTTGAAGAGTGTGCCTCACTATAGTGCCTGTTATATATGCAGAACCACAATTAGCCGAATAATTTTCGTTGTTTTCTATTCATACAAGTGTATTTGTTATATATTTTAGGAGAAAAGGAGCCAAAGAGAAATTAAATTATGACTACGCCAACTGTGTCATAGATAGTCTCCTGTGGAAACAATTATTTTGGTTTTCGTTTTGTGTTTCTGTGAGATAAAAAATTTTGTTTCCGTTGCTACATTCTCGTTGCTGTAGTGCTTTTTGAATTCCAATTATTACTGAATTTTTTGTGCTTGGGAAAAACTATCATTATGAGGCATTAGCTGCTGTTAACCTCGCATTTTGCGCAATCTATTATGGTCGTCAATCATAAAATAAAAATATCGTTGGAAATACATTTTAGTAAAATGAAAAAATTATCATTTAAATGTTAAAATTAATCGACATGGAGAGAATTATTTTCTTCATCAATTGAACGATTGAAAAGAGAAAAAGAAATGGCTGACACATGAACAAAACCAAAGAAAAAACGAAATCATTTAAGAAGAAAAGGTAATAATCATGCTATATAAAGAGACAATCTGTAAAATACTCTTTTTGAAAATGATAATCACAAAGAAAATAGTAGTTATTACAATTTCACGACATTATAATGAATAATGAATCAAATTGCTTAATTCTTGTTTGATGGGTATGTTTTATTTATTTTTCATTACTAAGTGATGCAAAAGTCTTTGGAAGAATGTCAAAGTATATTTATCACCAATTTAGCATAATATTAATTTCGACATTTTCTTTAAGGAGCAAAGTTCGGAGCTTGTAGGCATAAAACAAAACAACAGGATTTTGTGTGCAAGGAAGATGGCAAGATATAACAAGGTAGTTTTATCCGCTGACAACAGCTGTGTTATTCACTATACGTGTAAGTATATGACAAGTAGAAAAAAAAGCAAATTAGTTGAAATAAGTCGGGTTTCCAATAAGTGGGAAGTCTTTTTGACAATATTGAATTTATGGACAGTTGTCCATACGCTTGAATTATTAATTTCTTTTTTAACTGCGAACAATGCCAACCAAAGAAGGTATCAGAGAACGGGCGATATTTCGTCTTGCATCGTTATTAATCTATGCATCTTTCGACAATGAGTGTTCATTTTCAATAGATTATTTGAGAGTTATAGTGGTTAACCTTCACACTTTGTCTAAAATAATAGGAAGACCCTTTAGGGTATCTGTTGCAATTTCGAAGTGAAAACAATATTCCTGATCTGAACTTTGAATTTTTTTTGAAAGCGGAGTTCAAACTGCAAAAGTGACTCTTCATCGTAAAGAGGTTGTATTCCAAAAATTATTAAGAGCGAACACCTCAATTTCAAATCGCATGTGGAGAACACGCGTGCAATACTGACGATAACTAATCTATATCGATTTATATCGGTTTATACTGACTTATATCGGTCTATATCCATTCATGTCCGATCGGAGTGTACTCGGTTTTTCGAAATTTTGAGTTTGATGCTGTGGCAAAAACTTTTTTTCACAAAAATTTATGTTCTTTCATAAAAAAAAGTGTTGCTTTACTAAAAAAATCATCTTAGCAAAAAATGTTGTTTTTATAAAAAAAAAAGAACATTTTTGTAGAAATTTTGATGGAAAAAATATTATCTTTTTACTAAGATATGGTTTCTAACAAAAACAACATTTTTTGCTAAGAAAATGATTTCTTATTGGAGCAATAATCTGTTTAATAAAAAAAAAAATTGTAAAAGAAATTTCTTGCAAAAAAATTAAACTCAAAATTTTCAATAGTTGATTGCAGATTCGAATTTCTTAACCCTGATTACCTATGGTTCCAATTCACTAGTGAAATCCAAGTCAAATCTAGTCAAATTCAAACCCAGATCCAGTCGAATCTCGTGTTTGGATTTAACAGGATTTGGGTTTGATGCACCACTATCAGCTACTGTTCTTGATTCATGGAAAAGTAGCTCTTTATTCATTCATTGTTGAGCTTGATCAAGTTCAAGCTTTTGGTGTTTGAGCTCGATCGAATTCGAGTATGTATATTCGAGTTCGAACTCAATCGAGCTTCGAGCTCGAATCTGGACTTTAAGTCGAGCTCGATATATTCGAGTTCAAACAGTTTGGATTTGGTGCATGTCTAATCTTAAATCATTTTTATTATCTTTAAAAAAGAATCTTTTTAACCATTGTAAAATGTTTCAATACTTGTTCAAATAATTATTCAATTTTTTTAAAAATTATTCATCTTTTTAACTTTCAGGAAATTGATGATAGATAAATATATTCTTCATAACATTTGTCGATGCAATGAAATTTTAGGACCGCACAAGCAACGATGATTTATTTCATGACGAAAGTTCGACTGATCGAATATTACAACTCATGCATTAATCAATGAAGTTTGTTATTTGAGATAAATTATTTGAATTGGTTTGAGTTTATTTTTATTGGTATTTTAAAATTGCTTTGTTGGTAAATGTACAAAATGTGGTGGTTCATGAGAAGAGCATCACTGTATAACATATGAATATGAAACTAATGTTCGCCGTCTTAGCAATCTATGCTCATCAAGTGATATTGATAAAGGAATTAGCGATTTAGAAGATGAAAAAACCAAAATAAAAGATATTTATATAAAAAACTTTCAAAAGTTTTTCATGCAAATGCAATTATTCCAATAAATGATGATATATTAAAATATATTAGAGTTTTTATACAAGAAGAACAAATGAAAAAATATTCTGGTTGTAAAAATAATGATACTATTCAAGGCCTTGAGCAAATGATAAAAGATTATGCAAAAGAAATAAATTTATTTAAATAAACAATAAAAAATGAAAAGGATGCACTCAAATCTGAGGATATATTTCCTTTAGTTGGAAGTGTTTATCGATTACCTATTAATGGAAAAAAAATTCGTGAACAAGTCAATGCGTCAAAAATAAGTCAAACTGATATTTCATTAGAACGAGAAGTTTTTGATGAACTATCAGCTAAAGCTAATTCATCAAAAATAATGCATCAATTCAAATCTATTATTTCCAACTGATAAATTTGTTTTTACGATAAAACTTAATATGATAAGAAACACTCGAAATGATTTACTTATTCAAGACGTACACCTATTTAATAATATATCGTTTTGGATGTTTTTTCTGTCGATGATTATTAACAAAAAAAAACGTCGGAGTTTGTCACTAATCTCAAATCAATAAATTGTTTATGTTGTTTTCAATATTACATTGCCCCGCATCATGTAATACCTAGGATTTGAAGTTGTTCTCAAATTTTCATGTGCTTAATGTCTACACACCAGTTACAATGCTTTCCGTATATAATTTCGTTACTAATAAAGACCATCAATCGTAGAATGTTCCAATAAAACTTATCCAATCTATTTTATAAATTTAGTTCGGTGCGATTCAAATTGCTCTTCAATTTTTTTTATACTGAATATTTTTCATTGTTGCTTTATAATGATTTCTGAAGAGAAAAGTCTTTCGTCGAAGGATATGGGTGTGAGGCGTGGATATGAGTGTGGGTGAATAGTTTCTCCTTGGCAACAGCCATAGACACCCACACTCACACCCCAACCACGCCCACACCCTCACACGCACCCACATCCTCTTTTGAACAGTACAAGTCTCGAAAACATGTCTCATCCTGGATTTCAGAATGAACAATTCAGGCAATACAAAAATGATAACACACAGCCATCATATGCTTCAACAGCCCAATTCACATACTTCCTTCCTAATGAAAGGCAGACAATGAAGCAACAAAAAAGGGTATAGAAAAGACAATCATTATCAAGCCAAAAACGATTGAAATTACGTCACCTAAATAGCTTGGAAATGCCCATATAATGGAAGTGACGGAGATCTTATCATACTAGCATATACTCGATAATCCGTTCTAAAGATGGATACAATAATTAGGGATGCACTGGTTCCGGTTTTGATCGGTTCCAAATGACCGAATATCGGTCGACACCATGCATAGAGAAATCGGAAAACCCAGGTCGATGATTTCTGAAACCGCATTCCATGAATTTTCCGTGGAAATTCGCAGGAAAGGCACCATTTTTCGTCGAAACCTGCCGGAAAATGTCAGGAATTCGATGTAGAAACCGGTGATCATATACGACTGCCGATTTTGCCAAGTTCTGGACAGTTCCGCACAGAACTGCATAAACTCAGTCACCGGATTTCTGCTTCCAAGTTCCTAGCATTTCCGGTGTTTTCCTGCACGAACTGACCCGAACTTCTCGACTTGGGCAAAGAAAAATCTAATGATGATCGGTCCCGACTGATTCCGATCTCAGTTCCAGTCGATTCCGGTTTCGATTCCGATCAGTTCCAATCGCTTCCAAACGGTTCCACCGGTTCCGATTTTAGAACTGAAACCGGTGCATTCCTACACAGAATCATTTTGATTAGAATTATTCTAATACATGATAGATTTTACTATAAAAGAAAAGATTTCTATGATACAAATCCATTAAAACTCTTTCAACTTCACGATCATTACAATCCGCCCATACGGACGAAAATGGTCTCAATCAAAATGCTCACTAATATTCTCATCAATGAAGTAGCTCATCAGTTACAAAATCAT